GAGTATCTAAGCCTCAGTTTCTTCCTCCAAAAATAATGAAAATAGTATCTAAGTGTCTACTCTACAGACCTTATTAAGTTGTTGGATGGATCAGTTCATATATATATATATGAAAATGCTTCATCAACTAGAAAATTATATAATCTTATTTATTTATTTTATCCCAACTGATTCCAAGCTTCTTTATGGCAGGGACATCTTATCATTCTTCTTCAAACCCCCAGCATCTAGCATAATGCCAGGCACATCGTAGATACCCAACAACAGCTTCCTTGATGGATCAGTCTCTCAGTCCCTGCAGTTCTACCCTCATACTTTGAGCATAGTAGACACCAATAAACATTTGTTGAATTTTATTCAATTGGAAGGATATTATAGCTCAGAACTATTTATGAGGCCCCATCTACCAGGCAGTGTGAATACCATTACATAGAAAACATCTGTAAAACAAATTATTTTTAAGCTCTAATAATGTCTCACCTTTTCGAGCAATAACGATTTTTTTTTAAATTCTACTCTTACAAATAAACCCAGAATAGTTCATTTCTTCTCAGATAATTTGAGGAATTCTTTGTATGTATTATGATAAGATTTAACCAGAGGTTATAATTTTCATATAGATACATAGAATGTCATCATTCTTTAATTAATGATACATTTGCTAGCACCTTGAATTACCTTTTTGCCACTCAATGGATAGTCCACAGATGTTGGAAGCAGAGGAAGATTTTTAAATAATAACTACGGTGAGTTCACTTGCTTTTTTCCTTAGTAACTATCACTCATATCTGCCTTGCTTTCAGAAATTTTCAATGTTATGTACAATTTATTTCTTACCAAAAGCCTCATAATGTGAGTTAAAACCCTTCTGAGGTTTGCCTGAAACCAAGTAATCAGGGGATGTTATGTCATACAGTATAATCAAAAGTACGTAAATACATTTAATGTACTTGTAGAAATTTTGAGCAGGTATTCATTTGCCATTCAAGTTTTATACTAAGATATTGGTGTTTGGATTTTTTTCAGACATTTCTACGACAACCCCATCCAGCTTGTTGGACGATCCGCTTTTCAAAATTTACCTGAACTAAGAACACTGTAAGTTTTTCTCTAACAGATCGCTTTCACCTGGTAGGGTTGCTATGAAAACCAAATGACTATTAAATTTGATGTGCTTTGACAATGGCAGTAAGGATGACCGCTTTCTAGAATCTTCTCCTAATAACACTCATGTACCCTTCCTTCTAGGACTTTAAACGGTGCCTCACAAATAACTGAATTCCCTGATTTAACTGGAACTGCGAGCCTGGAGAGTCTGTAAGTATCTGAATGGGCTCTTGACTTTGCCCAGAACAGACACAGCCCTTAAAGCCGGACCAGTCTTAATGTCAGTGAATCAGCATACATCGCTGTGTGATGCTTGAATAAAAGAATGGTTTCTGGTTTATGTTTCAACAGGACTTTAACTGGAGCACAGATCTCATCTCTTCCTCAAGCCGTGTGTGATCAGTTACCTAATCTCCAAGTGCTGTGCGTATCAGTGAGGCAATAATGTTGTGTAAATAGGCAACTTCCATTTCCGGGTGGAGTGGCAGACATTATTTCAATAATCCTTTACAAGGGGAGAAAGTTCTTCCTTGCGGGTTTCCAGGAGGTCGGGCCTCCTCTGCCGGCCTTGGGCCAGGAAAATGGCTCTCTGCTCTGACCCTGGTCATGATGGCAGTGCATCCTTTGTTTCCAAGTCCCAGTTTCCCATTAGAGTTTCAATTGGCACACGTTTCCTTTCAGAAAATGGATAGGAACAAGCCAAAATAACTTCACTTCCCCCCTCTAAAGGCTTTGTGGAGCAGAAAAAAAAAAAAATAACAGAAGAGATTAAAAGCCCAATATGGATGCCAAAATAAAAAAATTAAGTTATCAGATCCATACAAACCTTGATAAAGGAGACCAAACATTCTTCCAATATAGTTGTGGGTGCCGTGTTCTAATGTTTCAACTAATGGTTAAACAGTTTGCATATGTTATTTTATGTTGATGTGGAACTTTTTTTTTTTCTGTGCCTTTCCCATGTTGTACAAAAAAATTAGTTTATAGGAATTTGAAGAGCCTTGTTTGGGCCTTCCATTTTCAGCCCTCTCCCTCAACTGCCACTCAACCCTATTATCGTCCTCTCAAGCATTGTTGGGACTTAATGAAAGGACCCTTCATCACTTGCCATGGCTCTGTTCTCACATCTGCGGCAGTTGAATGCCTGTAATTCCACAAGGGGCTTCACCTAGTCGAGAACTACAAGCAGCACTACAAACATTAAGTGGAAGAATAGGAATGTCCGCCATGATGGTTCTGCCTTCCCCTATACCCAGACTGCTACATCACTTCAGACCTCAGTAGCTCAGTGAAAGGGAGTCACAATAACACCACATGATAGCCTTGGAGTCAAGTATTCATGTCTGTAGGAAGGAGACGGCTAGAAAGTCTCCTCTTCTTCACCCCCACATCACCCTACAAGGTGTAGATACAGATGAGAAAATTGAGAATCAGGGAAGTGAAGCACATTTGTCACAGTCACACTGCAAGAAAGGAGCAGAGTCCAAATTCAAAACAGGCAGTTTGACTAAATAACCGGGAGAAAGTGTATGTATACCAGGTAGTGGAAATCTTGGGGTCATCTCAGAATTCTGCCTACTGCACCCAGAATAGGCATAATTATCCTTATTTCTGGCTCAGTAATGTGACTAGGATTTCACATACTGTAACTAATAAGTAGGGGGCCAGTATGTAAATCACATCTGTCTCCATTATGTCATACAGTGAATGGTAAACCACCCAGGTATAGAAATGCATAAATGGAGGCTGACTGGCTAATTGGTTATAAGCAAAGGCTCTGGGGTCTGTTTTCCTGGTTCAAGTCCAGTACCCCTATATATCAGCACAGTATCTTGAGCAAGTTATTTAGCCTTTCTTGGGCTCCCTTTCCCAATTTATAAAATGGAGGTGTAGCCACTTCCATCAGAGTACCATCGTGAGGACTAAGTGAGTTATTACATGCCAAGCATTTAGTTGAAACTTTCCTTTATAGGCCTGAAAAAAACACAACTACATTCATGGCAGGATCTTGCCATTTTCAAAGCACTTCAACCTATAACACTGATTTGTTCTCCACAACAGCCCTGCAAGATCAGCAAAACAGGTGTTTTCTCATTTAAGAGAAAACTGAGAAAGACAGCAATGCCTTGGCCTTGGTATCAACCAAGTAGAATTAGTTGAAGTTGAGAGTAGAAATCTACTGACCTATACTACTATCTACTTTATATCCTAGAAGTATAGGTCTGAGAGTTCCCCTCTGAGGCTGACTCATTCACTGGGTACTTGTTACATGAGGAAATTTCACTGTGCATGAGGGGTTTTGCCCCCACGTTGCTTCACCTGCATGGGAATTCCTTGGCTGTGTGTGGCTTTCCCCAATAACTAGCTGGTGATGTCAGGCAAGTCATTTCACATTGTATGGGGATAATCATAGGGGTCTCCCTCATAAAGTAACCACAGGATTAAATTAAACAGTTCAGATAAATCTGTAAACATGGCATCTATATATAAGAAGTGCTTGATCAACGTGAATCATGAAAGTCATTAGGTAGAATGTGAGTAGGAGGTGATACTGTGTCTTTATGTAGAAGACGATTTTATGTATCCTCTACTAAGAGATACACAGGAAGGATTTGTCCCCTTGATATCTGTGGAGATGAGTGAACCAAATTATTATTAGCTTTGATAATATATGTCCATTTTATTTCATTCACGACTTTTCAGAAATATTTACCATATTGTTAATCAGGTGTATTTGTGTATAGATATGAGGTATGGTTTTGTTTTGTTTTGTTTTGTTTTTGGTTTGGTCTGAATCTTTCAAACCTCTAATGTAAACTGCAAATTTGTGTTTGCAAACAGCTTTATCTGAACTACTTATGGGTAGTAAATGAACTGTATTTCTATACAAATTCCATCTATTCAATACATGTAGGATAAAATGATCAACTACAAGAATAAAATAATTTAAAAGCCTCTTAGAAAACAGTATTAATTTTTCTGTTACATAGTGGTGATCTGGCTCTAAGAATTAGAATCAGGCATGAGAATGTGTTAACTGATTAGCTGATAACTTCTAAACATGATACAAGATTATATATATATATATATATATATATATATATATATATGTGTGTGTGTGTGTGTGTGTGTGTGTGTATGTGTGTATATAAATATATATATATGTATATTACTTTATCTGCCCGTTCTTTTTTTAAGCTTTCTGCAAATTACCATGGCTTGTTTTAGATTAGTTATATTATACTCTAAATATATCCAGATGTTTTTGTTATTCTGTAATTTGTTGAGTTTTGGCTGAAGACCTTCTTAGATATTTTCCTCCCTCATAGTGATTGATTTCAAAGTTAGTGCTATGTTTGGAATTGTTGTTGGAGTTTTATTTTACTTGATTAGAAGAGAACCAACAGTGATTCTTTTAGCTGTGGAGATACAGCCGCCCTTAGAAACAGGGGCACAATTATTTAATTTGATTTGTACTCATTTCAGGAAGATAATAGCTAGAACGTTGTAGATCATCACTAACCAAATATAAATAAATTCATTAAGTAAATATTTAAGTTCATTAAAGAAGTATAACAGTTACGTTTCAGTAAACATTTGAATCTACTGTTTAATCCAATAATGCCCATGACTACCTGTTCCATGTCAGGGCTGGGGACATGTTCAGAGTCTGCTTTAGGAGATATGTCATCTTGGAGGGGAAAAGAGAGCAAAGCATGTTTCCTTACAATTAATATGTAACAGATTTTCCCTTTTGTGCCTTCTGCTTTTCAGAGATCTATCTTACAACCTGCTGGAAGAGTTACCCAGTTTTTCAGTCTGCCAAAAGCTTCAGAAAATGTACGTCTCTAAGAGTCTCTAAGTCACCTCGCAAAAAACAAGCCCAAACTCACATTTCCAGGAGTCGTTGGTTTGCTTATCCTCTGGTTCACTGGGGAGACATTTGATGGATGTGTTCCCTTTGTACACGCACACAAGATGTGACTGTATAAGATGGCTAGAAAGTTGGGAAATACAGATGGCATTATTTTACCATGAATTGTACTAGAAGTAAAGCCTTTTTATGTATTTGCTTCCCTCCCTCTCCCCCCCAAACTGGTGCAATGATAAAGTAGGTTTGAGCTTTGGGGGTTTTCTAAACTTACATATCCACTGAGTGGTGTTATTTTTTAATATGGGGGAACTTGAGTTTGTTGGCATGTTTGTTTCACAATAGTCATCTTTAGAAGAGGTGCCATATTTGTCATATTTGAGGCGCTATTGATGCTACTCACAGATGAAACATTTTAGATTCCTCTCTTAAAATTGCCTCCTCCATAAAACATCAGCCTTAATTGCTTTATAGTCATACCTTGGTCTTGATCAAAATATCAACATCTGTCCTTTCCCACTTAATTTTTCTCTGAATGCCTTTGGACGATTAGGAGAGGGAAAAAAAATTCATCTTTGAAAGGTAAAGATTTCAAACTCCTGCAGACCCCCCAAAGAATACAAGAAAGGCTCAGAAGGTAGAACCAGAAGAGGCCTCCTCTAAGTGTTTGAATGATGATGGCATTTGGAATATAGCTATATATCCACCCAAAGGAACTAACTGCTTTGAAACAGAGACAATACTTCAGTGTGTAAATTCTTATGTTCTTTTTTAAACAAACAAAAAATAATTTTTTAAAGTCATTTGATAGTCACACTTCATGTGTTCCTTTGATTGAGGGCAGGCGATCCCTCTGTAAAAGTTCTCTGAAGACTAATCTTTGAAACCAGTAACTTTGAAATCAATCTTCGGAACTCTGTCATTTCAGAGACCTGCGACATAATGAAATCTATGCAATTAAAGTTGACACTTTCCAGCAGTTGCTTAGCCTCCGGTCTCTGTGAGTACTGCCTCCCAGCACCTGCCCCATCCCAGGGCACTTTCTTTCCCTTTTGGGCCTTCCCCTAATATTTTCTTCTCACTGTGTGTGCATATTTGGTGGGCCTTTGTGAATATATTGACTATGAAAAGGCAAATATTTAACTCGTGATTATTTCCAGAAATAAATTCAATAGTGGTAAATTTGTAATCAGCAGACATGAAACTTTGATAAAGAGGAAGGAGCCCACACTGTTAATGACAAAATGTGTTTCTTAGTAGCTTGGAATTGTCAGGGATCATTTTGCATACAAAGATGAGATTACCACACAATTCTTCCTGCCCATTTCTTTCCTGGTTAAACAGTTTTTCGAAGTGTGACTTAAGGACCAGCCAAGTGACGTGTTGGTTAAGAGTTGGCTTAGGACGCCAGCTCTGAGCAGCAGGGCCCCGGTTCGGATCCCACATGGGGGCCAGTGGCACTGCGCCCTTTACAGCTAAGATGGTGAGCAACAGCTCGACCTGGAGCTGGGCTGCAGTGAGTCGCCAGTGACGGCAGCATAAGCTGCAGTGGGGCTGCAGTAGGCTGCCATAAGCTACCGTGAGTGGCCAGCAGCCAGTGTGAGCGGCCAGCAGCCGGCATGAGCTGCCAAGAGCCACCGTGAGCGGCTGTCCGGTGGCCAGCGACCTATCTGCCTCACCCAGGAAGAGCGCAATGATAATACCAACATGGGCCAGTGAAGCGATGTCCTCCACAACTAGACTGAAGAACAAAAGGACAGGAACTTGTCTGTTCACCTCTCCCAATTTCCCAATAAAATCTTTAAAAAAAAAAAAAGTGTGACTTAAGAATCACCTGGGGTAGAGAGGTGACTGCAAAAATGCAGATTCCAGGTCCACACCTGCCTCATGAGTTCAAATCTCTGGAGTGGGGCCTGAGTCGGCATTTTAACAAGTACACTAAGGTTTGAGCACACCTGTCTTCAAAAATGCTTCCATTGCTCAGACCACTAAGATATGTGCATATTTAATTCCATTTTATAATTGAAAGCCCCATATATTAACAATAAATTTAAAAACAGCTTGGTAACAGATTTTTGGGGGTGATAGTTTAAACATCTCAAAACTGGATTTCCATGTAATTTTGATGAATGATGACAATATGTAATGTTTAAATTATGGTATATTGTTTAAAATCTTTTTCTTTCTAAAGTTTTTATTAATACTTAAGAGACTATATGCTTGTAAAATAATACCATTCCTCAAAACATTTTAAATTCACCTTTAAGAATCACAAGTTCTCCCAGAAATTTACTTTGAAAACCATCTTGTTCTGACCTTAATCGTTTGGCCCTTTCCTTACTTTGAGGCTACTACCAGCTTCTGAAGCTCTTTTACTTTTTAAAATAAATGTAAAACAAAAATACATTACCTACTTTTATTACCTACCTTAATCCCCAGGTTTGAGTTCTGGCAGTTTCCAAAAGTCAGTTTTTCTTTAAAAGGCTGATATGTTTGGTATTACTGTATTATATTATTGAAATCTGCTGAAAGAATAGAACTCAATTGTTGTCACCAAGATATAGATAGATAGATAAATAGATAGATAGATAGGTAGATAGATATAGATATAGATGAGATATAGATATAGATATAGATGAGATAGATATAGATATAGTATCTCTCTTTATAATACATATTTATATACACATATATAAAAGAAATAAAAGGCTGACCTCTAAAGATACCCAAAGAAGCTGACACAGATTTTGAAGGTTACGTGTCTGAGTCCCCTGAATTCCTCCTGCCCCTTAGACCTCACATCCAATCACTCACTAAACTCTGCCCACTCCATTTCATTCACTCTTCTACCTCAGGCCCATGGATGGTCTCATTCACCTGGATTACCATCTCATCCTCCTGACCAGTCTTCCCACCATCAGTCTCCACCCATTCATCTCATTCTCCGAAGAGATTCTTTCTTAAATAGAAATCAAATCATGTTCCTTTTCTGCTTCAAAAAACCCTTATTGTTCTCCTATTGTCTTCAAGATCAAGACAGAGCTTCCCAGGACTGACCTTTAAAATCTCATTCCAACCTCTTGGGACACCCTCATCTCTCACCCACACCTTCCCAGTCCCCTGACACTCACTCAAATGCTGTTTTTCCTGGTCTTGTGGCCCAGTGGATTCCTCCCTACTTAACTTGCCCCGTCCATCCCACTGAACATGATCTCCTGTCTCTGAGCCCGCTCCACCCTGATGTGCTCTGCACATTCTCTGCTGCAGGTCTCAGCACTCAGCGCTGCCATCGAGTAGGCCATGCTGTGCATGAAAACTACAAGAACTTAGTCATCTTCTTATCCCCACGGTCTAGTGCAGTGGCTCTCTCTCTCATTGTTTACTTAAGAATTCCAAACATGTTCTGAGCAAAAGACGGGGGACTCTGAAGTGAGTCTTCATGAATAATCCCCCTTAGGCGATTCTTCAACAATTTGAGAAACACTTTGAAACACTGTTTAACCATGAAAGACATGGGCAGGAAGAATTGCGTGGTCGTCTCTTCTTTGTATGTAAAATGATCCCAGCTTCTGCCCCCACTCTGTGATTTTGGCCAAGTCACTTACACTGTGTGCTTCATTCCTCACCAGTAAAATGGGGCTAATGATAATCCCTATCTCTTAGGGTTGTATTTAGGGTTATGAGATAACACATGTAAAAAAAAAAAAACCACCTCATAACCATATAAATATAAATATAAATAGGCACATAGTAAATATGTCACAGTATCATTATTATCGTTACTATTGTTGTTGTTGTTACTGTTAGAACAACTAAATATCCTTTTAGGGTATATCAGTGAGGTCCTGGTAGGAAACAGAATTCGCCCCAGATGGTTCAAATGAAAGGCCACTTACACAGGTGTTGGCAGGGAGCATGCAAGGGATGGGTGTGCAGGACCCAGCAGCATGACCAAGCGTGGGGCTGCAGAGACACAGGGAGGAAATGGAGTTTCCAAAGCCCAGGAAGAGCTGAGGCACAGAGAAGGGATGCAGTGGCTGAGAAAGTGTACAGCTGCCGACAGACAAGATTGCAAAACAGAGAAGGAGCAGATAGGTCCCAAGTGCCACATACTCTGCTCCAGTGACTTCCCCTGGGACTCCCACAGAAACAGCAGGGCACCTTGGGGATGTAGCCTCCAGGGCCAGCCCCAGGCACAGAGCAGGGCCAGGGAGTAGAAATGGCTTCTGCAGGGATGCTGGAAGGACCCAACCCACAGGCTCACCGATAGGAATGGAATTACAGTCCTTTGAACAAACATATTCTCCCCTATTTACTTAAAACACAATCATATCTCTAGAAGGCCCTGTGGCCAAACTTGGCCTGCATTCCTGATATACTACTCTGTGAGGCTCACCGGGGCGCCGATGTTCCACTTAAAGCCACTTAAAGCCACCGAAGAGGTGGTGACAGAGGCTGTGACTTGCATCCCTCCCTGGAAACATCGTAGGAGCAGCTCAGCAGAAGACAGCCTCCTCACCTCACTCCAGTCGCTACCTGCAGCTTCCCACTCCTTCCATGCCGTTTCTTCCCCTTAGTAGCTGGAGTTTTCTCCTGGTCTGGGATCAATGAAAGGGGCAAAATCAAAAGCCCTTTCAGTTTCCCCCAGTTTAAGGTAGCTTCTCAAATAATAAATATCCTGTGAATACCATTAATCAGGGTGGGGCCAATCTCATCAATCAACCACTTACCTGTGCTAGAGAAAAGTAGGCAGTGATCATTTTCAGTTTACTCAAATGTGTATACTTTAGTTACCCTTATTAATTAGGCGTTTTAAAAATACAAATTTTAAGTTCATTGCTTCTTTTTTAAAATGTGGAAGCTCTTATTCCTGTGAAATTATCTACATTTATATATATAGATAGGGGTGAAAGGGTGATAGGGAAAGGGTGATGGAATTTTCTTTCTCCGTAAAGTGTAGATCTTCTTTGTTATCAAAGGATTTTATTTCTGACATAGGCTAGCCTCTCTTTTATTCATTTCCTAGCTAAGAATTTAAATGTCTGTCTCCTTCACCGGGAATTCTTTTGAAAGCATCTCTGTTTCTTTTAAGGTCTGACATACATGGGCAATACAGACAAATTCTTGTTGAGTTTCACTACATATCCAGGGACTTGCTTGTCAGAGAAGAGCCTCAGAAGTTCCTATCTCGTCCCACTCCCCTCCCCCACTCATTTTAGAAATGTCCTAATAAAATTTTACAACCGTGTTAAAGTTATCTTTTTAGCAAGAAGAGAATAAAAACTAAGATACCCACCTGAATGATTTTCCTTTATTGATTTAAACAAGGCTGCTTTAAAGTTCTCTCTTTAATCATTTTATGTTATTAATATCTTTATCTGAAGGATGATTTTGGTAAGTTAATTGTTCCTGTCCTGAATGGAAATTAAATTTTGTTAGAATGAATATATATGGTAAAACGTCACACGGTCTTCTTTTATTATATAATCCTCTAACTTGCCTTTGTTTTAAAAAATAGGAATTTAGCTTGGAACAAAATTGCCGTTCTTCACCCCAATGCATTTTCTACTTTGCCATCTCTAAGAAAGCTGTGAGTATTTTATTACTTGTTTATGGCATGTCATTTAATCATTAGGGACTATCGAAGTAATAAAAAATGTTGGTTTTGCTGAAGAAGCCCACAGCTCACCGATTGCCCAGCCCTCAGTATTCTCCACACTAGAGCTGTATCAGACCAGAAAGGAACCCACTGTCCCTCCAAGGCCCTGTGGGCCCTTATGTGAATAATTGAGGATCTGGGTGACAGCTGGCTCTGGTTACTGAGGTGAAATTTTCCATTTTTGCTGAGCAATCAGGTGGAATGGAATAAGATGTCAGTTCACTTCTAATGGGCTTTCGTTTTTTAGTTCCCCATCTTGACTAATAGAAAACCTTCTGTCTCTTTTTATTTCTTTCCTTTCCACCTCTTTCTCCTTCCTCTCCCCATCTCCGTTGTCTAACAGAGAAAGAAGGAATTGGTCAGACAGAAATTAAGGGGAGAAGGAAGGAAATAAACCCCTGACAACGTTTTCCCTCTCACCCCTAATCAGCATCACTTTTCAAACTAGATGTCGCACCTGGCACTTGATTTTAGATGTTGCCACCTGGCAAAATTAAGCTGAATATAGAAAATATAATTTGGATGCAATTAAAACAGTTTTACCCCTGCAGCCCTGATTGTAAATAGAAAAGGTATCAGGAGCTGAAACCAAAATGATTACTTTTACCATTAAAAGTGAGGACCCTGCTTAGTAATTTTTATGGAACAGTTTAATAATCTTTAGGTTGGTTTCTTTTTTTCTACGTAAACATTTTATGCTAACACAGACTAAAAGCCAATTGTTGTTTGATGTTTTGCAGGGACCTGTCGTCCAACCGCCTGTCGTCTTTTCCTGTAACTGGGTTACATGGTTTAACTCACTTAAAATTAACAGGAAATCATGCCTTACAGAGCTTGATATCATCTGAAAACTTTCCAGAACTCAAGTGAGTTTGTCATTAAAACTAATAAGATACATTTGTGGTCATGTGAAATAATAGACATGTTATAGTTGTTTGCAAAATTTATGAGGTCATGGGACTCTTTTGAATTTCATTGCATGCCCTCAAGTCTCCCCCCACCCCTGGGGCATTGTTAGGACAAGGCCCAAGTGGAAGAATGGGTCTTCCTGACCACATTTCCTTTCTTTCTCAAAGATGCCTCCCGGAATTGTTGAGTTCATGGAAAGAGTTTGAAAACCATTGATCCATGGGATGTAAACTAGGACATGTAATTAAATAACATGATAACATTATTGTAGCCCTGTTTACATTTTTAAATTCATCTAGCTTGGGTATATGTTCTAAGAAAATGTACTAAATTAATATTTGCTTGAGGAAGTAATGCTCTTTAAAACCTGTTATGCTTACTTTCCATAAAGAAGTCCCTTGAAAGATTATATAGATGTATATTTTTTAATCTAAGTACTTTTTACATACTTGTAAAATTATAACCCCAAAAGAGAAAAAAATCTAAAATCACCCCCTAGACAACTTTTTTATGTTATTTCCTTCCAGACTTTGTTTCCAATGTATTTTTAATTGTTAGACTCATAAAACGTACACAAGCTTTTATCACGTTTTCGTCACTTAATATTATGTCATACCATAAGCACTTTTTAATGGTGCTGCAATTTTCCCAGCAGTCATTTTTTTAACTTTTTTATTATAGAAATTTTCAAACACTAAAGTAGAGAAAATAATATACCCATCACTCAACCGCAGCAATTATCAACATTTCACAGCAATAACTTTTCATAACAACATTGTTATTATTCATAGCACTGTAATAAACATCTTTATGCACATAGTTAATATTTTAGGTTATTTATTAAAGCTAAACTACTAAGGCATAATTATTGAGTGAAAGAAGATGAACATGATATTTAACAACCAACTTTTTTTTTTTAAGATTTCAT